AGAGAGAGAGAGAGAGAGAGAGAGAGAGAGAGAGAGAGAGAGAGAGAGAGAGAGGAAGGAGAGGGGAGAGGGAAGAGGGGGAGAGAGAAAGTAAAGAGGAAGGGAGGAAGAAAGGAGGAAAGAAGAGGGAAAGGAAAATAAAGGGAAACAGAGAAAGAACAAAAATTTGCAAAGATGGTAACAGTAACATCTACTTCACAAAATTATAGTGAAAAGTCAAGACTCCAGTATACAGAAAATTCCCCTGCAGGTGACACCTAGCAGATGCTCAGTAAACATGCACGACCTTCCTATTTGAGGGCCCCTCTGCGTGTCCCCACCAGCTGAGAGGTTCTTGGGAAACACGGTGGGAGAGGCGAGAGTCTGCTGAGTACGGTGGCAGGAAGTGGTTCCCGGAATGGAATGCCAGTGCCCGGAACCTGAGGCTCCACACCGCAGCAGCTGCGAGAGGTCCCTGCTCACAGCAGCTTACCTGGTGGTTGTCCGGATGGTGTTTTCTTTCGTGTGATTGTGCTCTTTGCTCACTTTCTCTGTAAGGAGAAAGCATGAAACAGACACCTCTTAGGCAGTGCTCATTCAAATTCCAACTTTTAAGATTAAGTTGAAACACCCCATCCTCTCTGTATTACCTGACTTTCTTTTACTTTCTTTTTTAACCACCCCAGTCCTCCCTATCTTCCTGAGAAAGACGCTCAAAAGCACACAGAATGTATTCACAAAAATATTTCACTGGAAACAAATCAACAGAAACTAGTTAATAAATTTCAGGGTGTTGTCCAATTTGAATCAAGCTTTGGAAAGTGTGTATACATATATGCACACAACACACACAAATGTGTGCACAGGGTCTGTTAGTTCTATTCTATCTTTTCCCAGCTGAAAATTTCTGATTCAGCAGGAAAAACTGCAGTTGTTGCAACTGTCCTGCCCCTGGCTTTGATAACGACCTTTACTTAGTCTGTATTGTTAGGCTCCTTTGTGAGAGGGGCCATAAAAACAGCCAGAAGACCTCTTGGGGACATCATCAACTGCTTATTCTGATAAATGTCACCAGGAACAAAACACCCCATTAGACAAGAAGAGGTAGGCCCTCCCTCAGTGTGTGCTGATGTCCGCATCTCCCAGCTGTCAGAAATGATTTAATTAGCTTTCGAGAACACAGAACTTGATCTCCGGCCTTCCCAGTCCAGCTCGGATGTGAGGCCTCTACTCCGACCATCACAGCTCTGAATGCCTTCTTTCAAGGATTTAGAGAAAACCTGGGCAACTGAACAAGGGTTTCACATTTCCCTGGCAGGCAAGACAAATGCCCAATCTTGTGGATTTTTGTAAAAATGTAAACAAATTTTTATAACATCGGTCCCACACTTTGCAACACTCACCTAAACCCATGGCATGAGTGTTTACACGGACAGTTTCTGCTCCCTCAACAGTGACAAAAAAAGGTGACCTGGGATTGCCATCCAATATTCTTGCAGAACAGGAAGTGGAGTATAAATGACTTGTCTGAGGTCGCCCAGGCCATGACAGTGCCACAGTGAGAATTCTCAGACACCAAGTTTGTAGCTGATAGGAGACTGATTACGCACTGCTACAGACAGGAACTTTCTGAAAAGAACCACTCAGGTCTCACTTTTCACTAATTTTAACTCTTACATCATTATCAAAGTGGTATTGTTTTTAGATAAAATTTAGCTTTTAAAAAAATGAGAGGTTGCAAAGACCTATGTGTGCTATGAAGTTTACTAGATTAATGATTTCTATGACTAGAGATCTATGCGGATACAGTCTTTGTTTGAAAATGTGGGGCCGCCAGCTTCATGTGACACACAGGTAGGTGTGTCACCAGGCTCCTGAGAAAGGTAACTGAGATTTTAGTTTCTTTAGTCTTTAATATTTCTCTTGCAGGGGTTAATATGGTATTCAACAGGTGTTTTGATGTCCTTAACAAAACAATTAAAGGTTAGTAATAAGCCCTCCTGATGCATAAACTTCAGGGCAAAGGCCAATGCTATCAAAAAATGAATACATGCACACATTACCAACTTTAGGCTTGCTCACAGAGTAACAGCATATTAAACTGGCTAGGGACAAACGGCATGGGACTGAGAAGAGCTGACAAAAGGCACAAATTTGGTTTTCCGACCCTCAACTATTTCATCAAGATACTCCACTGGGCTGGCACTTCTTCCGCTTTCGAATTCAAACTATTCTAAGTGGAAATTGGTTTACTAAAAATGTTCTCAAGGGCAATAACTAAAAACAGTCCTCATACTTTCATTTTTTGCTTTTCCTTTCTTTGTTTTAATAAGAAACAAAACCTCATTAATTTGGAATCCATGGTAATCCCATCACTGCTGGAGTAAACTGAAGTCTGTCTTTAGTGTATGAAAGCCAAAAGGCTGTTGATCAGATCAACTGCCTGAACACAGTCAGAGGGGAGATGTTTATCCCAGTCAGTAGGGACTATTTGCATAAAACTGCAGAATTCCAATTTCAAGTGGTTCTTTTTTTAAAAAAATTTTTTTTATTCATTTTCATGAGAAAAAAAATAGCAATGACACAGTTTCAAAACAGGCTAGCAGGACAGTTAAAATAATTAATACATTGCATATTATCTTCATAGCAGTTATTCAGAGGACAAGATGCAGACATATCTTGTCTAAACAATATTAGTACAAACCTTTCTTCTCGATGAACTAAGCCGCCTATCTATCCTGTTTCGTGTGTACATATATTTTTTTTCATAACGAAACAGTCCTTTATTTACACTTTTGCAAAGTTAGTAACACGTGACACAAGGTTGCCTAGCGACTAATAGCTGACCTTAACCAGACAGGATGTTTATCTCAGGACTGAGGTAGCTTGTTTGCTTTAGGCTCTGAGGCCTAGTCCCACCTACACACATTTGATCAATTTCCTAGCTTCCCTGGCTCCCAACATATCCCCCCTTTTTTGTTTTCTCAGAGATGGGCGTTCCACTGCAGTCAGAGAAGTTGTATTTGGAGGAGTCTTTAAAGGACCTTTTTGTACTTGATGCCAGTCCAAAGATTGTAGGTACTTGAATTCAGCAAAATTTGTTGAATTTAAGTGGTTCTTTACTATTTATTAAAGCAAGTTTGGTACAAATTTTAGTTGGCAGCACTTGACTAGCTGTTAATTTAGGTGGCTGTATGCCTGTAAAAGTAACAAAATTGATTTATGTCTAGAAAATCCTATTGTGTGGGCTGGCCTTTTTTTAAAAAAAATTTTTTTAAACTATTTTGAGGGACCTTCCTCCCAAAGACTTTTAATTATTGACATCTTTCTGTGGTGAAACTTACCCGACAGTTGAAAGAGAAGCTCGGAAGCCATCTTCACAGAGATGTCCTGACTGAAGAGGTTTCTTTCCGGGAGGACTCTGCCCTCCGGCATCTTCTGTAAGGGTTCGGTTTTCTCACGCCCTATTAAAGTGCTGTAGCCAACATTCCGGTTGGGTGACATGGAGACATGTGAGTCCTGGATGTCAACTTCCATGGGCTCCTCTTTAATCTTCACCATCTGTGTCTCCTTGTAGCTCTCCGCTATAAACAGGTGAAGGAAGAGAAACAGAGACACCACCATTGTGTTGCTTAACTCCCAGCCAAACTGAGTTTCTAAACACAAGGAAAAAGCAAGAGCCATGACACTCTGGAACCACCGGTTCAACCCACGTGGCTTCCTGGAACGGTAGACAACTTTAGTACGTCATCACAGAGAAATTCAGTGCAGGCCCAAGACACACATGTGCAGCTGAGCCAGGCCTAAAGTCTGGTCTGGCCACCGTGACACATCCTTCCTGTCTACCATGCTCCATGTACAAACATTCTGAATGGTCAGTGTTGGCCCGTTTTAGAACTCATTTGCAGCAAACAGGAGCAAGCACATTAATGTTACGACTTCTTCTTTCTATTTTTAAAGCTCAGATCAATTTTTTCTCCCTTTCTTCCAAGGCACCTAAATTATTAAAGGTTAAGGGGGAGGTCAATGTAAGGAGAGATTTTTACCTCGCTGGAAGCTAGTAACCCTTCAAGAACACCCAGGTAGTTAATTGCAGCCAAGGACTAACACTTAGAAAACAACAATCTCGCAGGTTGTAATTTACTGAATGTTCTTCTTTTAGGTGTGGCTACTGGACGCACTGTCTTTAATCTGAAACACATTTGCTTTGCAAGTAGAAGTGTACATGTCTACATGTTCCTTAGAGCTAATGACAGGATGTCTTTGAAACAGGGTGGGGCAATCAGTCCAGGTTTTAATTTGGGCCACTTTAGAATAAAGCTATCAATACATATTATACTTAGGAAGAGCACATGCAGTGCGGCACTGCCCCCAGGGTGCACTGACAGGCCGATTGAGATTGGGCATGGTGGCTCAGGCTTATAATCCCAGCACTTGAGGGGCTGAAAATAGGAGAATCACTACAAGTCCAGTCTACATAGTGAGACTCTGTAAACCCTGTCCTAAATACATTAATAAATAAATAAAATCAATAGATATTTATTGGTAAGTACTGTACAGATGGTATTCTGGAAAACAAAAACCAAACTACACTGTTAGATGAGAGCCGGGTGGACAGCTAACAGAGTAAGGAGTGGAATGGTGGCCCTTAGCTAGGTGTGCCCACACCCTGACCCAAAGAACCGACAAAATGTGACCTTACTGGGAGAAAAAGGGTCTTGGGAGATGTAAGTGAAAGATCTCAAGGTGAAACCATCTTAGATTACACAGGTGGACCCTAAATCTAATGACAAATGTTCTTCATAGACACAGAGGAGGACAGGACAGACACCATGGAAAAGGCCACGTAAACACAGAAAAACAACAGAGTTTAGAAAAACAACAAACTGCCAGCAGGGCTGGCAGGAGAGCTCAGCAGACTGAGCACCTGTGTAGGCATGTGCAGGGACCGGGGTTCAATCCCCAGCACCACATGCCACGCTGGCCCTGCCCCGGGTGCACTGAGCTGGTCATCAAGACCAGGCGTAGTGGCGCACGCCTGTTAACCCAGGGCTGGGGAGGCTGAACATAGGAGGATCACTGAGTCTGAGCTGCATAGTGAGACTCTGTACCAAATACATAAAAAACAAACAAACAAACAAACAAAAAAACCCAAAGACAAACAAAACAAAACACAAGGAATGCTGGAACCACCAGGAGCTGGAAGGAAAAGAGTCCCCATTAGAGAATCTGTCGGGTAGAGTCCATCCAGAGCCATGAGAGAACAAGTCAGCTACCAACTGGTGATTCTGCATAGCAGAGTTAAGAAAGTAACACAACTAGATGATGGGCAGAACGATAAGAAAGAGAACAGAGCAGGTCTTGATCTGCCGGGCAGCTGGGAGGTGTCAAAAGGGAAACCTCATTGCTATAACCGGCTGGTCAGAAAAGCAATGCCTTCCTTACAAAACGCAACATGCCAAACACACAGTTTATAGACTGGCAATAAAAGGGACAGAAGATCATTTAAATTAAATAAATAAAATTAATAAGATGCTATCAGTAAGATTTTATGTAAGAAGAGTGCCACCTGTTCTCCTGGCATACTGCACATGCATCTTAGGAAAAACTACCTGATTTTTCTCAGGAACTAAGTTGCAGGCAACTATGATATTTTAGATCTCTTCCCCGCTTCCCCTACTCTTGCCAAGCTGCTTTTCTCTCTGTATGTCTGTGAAGTAGCTCAGGAAAATCGAGTTCATTGATTCAGTGAATCATGAAAAGAGGAAGGAGAAGGAAAGAAAAAGAGAATGAAGAGAGTAACAGGAACAGCAAGAGGGGGGAGGAGGAGGAGGAGGAGGAGGAGGAGGAGGAAAAGGAGGAAGAGGAGGAGAGGAGGAGAAAGAGGAGAGGTGGAGGAGGAGAAGAGGAAAAGCATGGAAAGCTTCTCAGGTTGATGCTTAGCTTCTTGCCTTCTCTTGCAGCTGCGCTGATTCTTGCTGGAGTACCAAATGCCCGCCCCGGCTGGCCCTGCCTCTCCCCTCCGTAGGGCACCACCTGACCTCCAGCTGGATCAACGACCCACAGGAGCAGTCCTCACACACCTGCCTCTCGGAGCCCCCCAGAGTACTTAATAGCTGGAAAATAAACAGTGGGGTCAGTGTCACAGGTACGTAATGATGCTTCTGGACCTTGCGCTGGTGATTTTGAAGCCTGAGGACAAACACAAAGAACCACTAGGACAAATACAAAGGGATTCCTTGAGTTAAAAAAAAAAAAATCTTAACAACATAAAGAGCAAAGCTGGAAAAAAACCTCCATTGTTTCTCTTCTCCCTCTACCTCCACCTCCCCAGTTTTGACCCTAGATTAACAACCACCTGGTTCTCTGCGCCACTGACTTTAATGAAATTAGTTTTTAAAATCTACTTGGGATCATTTCAAGTATGATTTGCATGGCAAGTGCTTTCTGCCCTTTCCTATGACAACTCTTGACCTTTTGAAAATACACAAAACACTGATCACTGATAAAAACCTTTAGCATCCTTAATCTCCCTGATGGATTCCAGACTCACAGAGAAGGGTTTTCAAACTGACATCTCAATGGGCAAGTGAGACATAATACAATCAATATTTTCATAGTCCTTTCTCTTTCAAGCAATAATGTCAAGTGTTTCCTTGCCTTTTTTAAAAAGTAGGATTTCTCAACCTTGAAACCCATCAACTTCTGAAGCAGGATGGTCTGCTGTGGGGGGATGGGTAGTGAATTCTAGTGCATCTGGCCACATATGCAGTCCCTACCCACTACACACCAATAGCTCTACCCTCTAATTTTAATAACCAAAAGTGACCCTAGAGATTGTCAGACTTTCTTGGGGAAAGAAAGAATCGCCTTGTCTGAAAATCACTGCTTTGAAGGTTTTGCTACATGCTAACTGGTTCCAAAAAAACAGGCAAAAGAGCATCTATGGCAAAAAAGAAAGCAAAAGCTCCTTTTAGGTTTGAGCCTAGGCTCACCCGGGTATGAATCACCATCTCAGCCAGTTCCCTGGATAGGCTGGCCTGGGGTCAGGGGCCCAAGGTGTCTGCTTTGTACCCACCCGGCCCCCAGCCAGCTCTCTGCTGTGGCCTGGGGCCTCCTCACAAATTACTCCTCCCCACTCACTCTTAGCTTTGCCTCCTACTCAGGTACAGCTCCGCACAGCCAAGACTCTACTGTTTCCCCTATACACTCAGTGGGAATGGGTTCCCAGTCCCTAAAATAATAAGACAAACACTTTTATCACAAGTGATCTATACTGCTACTCCAAGAAATAAACTAGCACATGAAGAAAAGGAGAGACAAAGATTTAATAGCGGCTATGGGAGTGGGCTGTGGGTGATCATCTCTCTACTGCAATGCTTATTTATATTTTGTAATTTTTCTATGCTATATGAATACTGTATCATTCGCCTAATTTTTACCAAAAAAAAAAAAAAATGACAATTACATGCACCCATAAAAGAAGATGAACAAGTTCAGATTGTGACAGAGAAATGTGGAATGACATTTCTTCCAACGTTTAACTGCACTGGGAAGGAGGATTCGTGGGTTTAGTCCTATTCAAACTCAGCTTGGTAATTGAAGGGGAAAAAGCATCAACACTGTCTTTTCTACCTTCATAAACACAAATATGATTAGCTATCACACTGCGCATTATTTCACCTATCAGTCATGCGGCCACTCTATTCTTTTTTTCAAATGTCTGCTAAGTACTGGGCTAGATGGATGATATGTGAGACACCAAGATAAATAAGACAGAGTTCTTGGCCTTGAGCAATTTAAATCTAGATGAGTGATGAGGAAAGTAAAGGCATGCCCTTAATACAAAAAGTGAAATTAAAAAACAGTGTGCATAGAGGAGTCAGGCCAGGAACCAAAGCCCAGAGGTGAGCCTGGAATCTCCCCAGGGTGCTGAAGAACACCGTGTTGTCTCCAGGGCCGCTGGGCAGAGGCACAACCACTACCCCGAATAATCAGTACTCTAGAGTGTAACACAACCAACTCCGTTGCCCTTTCTATTTTCTCTTTAAACCTGTCAGAGAGGAATGGGCTTTTCCCTTGTTTCTGGTTGAAAACCCAAGCAGACCCACAACCTGGTAACTCTTCCTGAACACAAAGGCTTACAACCCATTTAAAGAGCCAGTCTCGATTCAGAAACTAGAAAGTTCAGTCCTACAGGAGGTGAGTCCTTGTTCTCCCTGGCAAGGGTAAGGATCCTGCCCTGGAAAACGAAGAAGAGAAAGGGGCTAGTCCGGTCCTTCCTTTTTGCTGTCTTCTTTCCAATACACCAGCTGCACTTCAGACCTTACAGCAAAACTAGAACGAGATCACCTCTTCGCTCACCGCCCACGTGGGGATGGTTTTATGCTCCTGGACCCATTATTTAATGGATTTGCCCTTCCAGTTTTCAAAGACCGTCAACTGATAGTGATCTCTGTCTCTGCTCTCTGGTCTCCTTAGAGTAGACTTAGCTCCTCCAGTGCCCCACGAATCTACCTGTCCGTTGGTTTGCAGCTTCCTTCGTGCTGAGGCCCTGTGCATCTCTAGGTGACCCCAGGGGACA